TGCTTTAATCTAATAAAGATACCGGCGAGGCTGCCAATATATAAAAAAAAAAAAAAAAAAAAAATTAATAAAAATCTATTCTAGAAGTGTAGCGACTTAGTGAAGTGGTCAAGTTGTCGCATCTCCAAGTGGCAGAACAAAAGTTCGAATCCCACTGGTGACGAAATTCTACAGAATGTGTTATGGCAAACTTTGTGTAAACTGATGGATCATCAGATCTGTAAACTTGGTTGTACTAGGGGTTATTAGAAAGCTGTGGAACTATAGTGTGATGTATAAGTTATACAAAACCTGAGTGAAACAGCTGTGTAAATTCAGGTATTGGTGCATACAGAAGCCCACTTGGCAAGTCCCGAGTAGAAAGGTAGAACAGATCTTTGACAGTACTATATAAAAGACTATCTAAGGGATCTGGACACCGATTTCAGTAATTTGGACAAGGACTGATATTTGGCAAGACACTATATCAACCAGGCTGCTGGCCGAGTAATCAGAGGAAAAGGACCCAACTGTGGAGACCAGGGCAGATCACAGCCCTCTCGGGCTATTTGGATTAAGAGTTTAGGTTACTGACGGAACTTAGGTACTAGTGATAGTCTGTAAAGTGTGTGCTGGGATTTGTGTGACCTTTGCAAAGACAAGGAGTAGGTAATGGTAGCAGAGAAATACTGCAAGTACTTGGTTTCAGCCTAGACGCAAGTTACTGAAAATCTAGGTGATACATGTTTGTGAGACATGGACCACTCTAGTAGGTTTATCACAAGGATAAATTAGTCCTAAAGGGTCTTAGCGGCAGTTCCTCTTTGAGAAGAATATCCGATGGCGCTAAGTTGATCAGAGGGTTTAATTAGATAACTCAAGTAATAGTGGGTTATAGATACAGCACTAGTGTAGTACTTAGTAATAGAGAACTACTTAATTAAGCGTTCAAAAGACGCAGATATGACTAGAATATACCCTCGTTAATGTAACAAAGTTAGAGATAGTCCTGTAGCTGCCCTAATATTCGCAACCAAAGTTAATAAAACATGCCAGACCCCCAAGTGGTCACCTTAACATTAAAAAAAAATAAAAAATAAAAATCTATTCTAAAAATCTGTTTTATAATAATAGCTATAATCAATCTATAATTTAATATTTTAAATAATAAAATTACTAATAACAAATAATTTTTGTTTTTAATAAACTTAATACTTAACACTTATTATTTAATTCACTATAATCTTGATAAATTATAAGAGATTTTATTACAATAAAATAAAATGAGTTTAAATTTGTATAGATGCAAAAAAACTATATAGGAGGTGTTAGTAAAAAAACCAAACAAATTGTTTCTAAATAATTTTTTTTTTAGAACTTTAAATTCAAAATATTTTTTTTTTTTAATCTTCAAAGGTGAGGTTATGCCTCTTAAATTCAGATATTTCAACAACTATTAAATCAAATTCGATAAAAAATTTTTTTAATTCTACAGTATATAATTATAAAAAATTTTTTATCAAGTTTGGTTTAATAATTAAGATATTTTAATTTAAAGTTTTACTAAAAACAATTTGCTTGGTTTCTACTAATAATATACAAATGCTAATTTTATACAGTATACAATTTAACCAAAATATACAGTTTAAACCTTTTTAAAACTTTATACCTGGGATTCCTCTTCCCCTTCTATAACTAGACTTAAATTAGTTTATAAATAGAAAATTAAGAGGTGATTTGCTACACTTAGGTGGTTATACAAGACACAATAGATAGTTAGAATTTATTATCATCTTGATACAAATCTGTAACTTATCATATATACAGCAAATTCAAAATAAAAAAAATAAAAAAAATAACTTTACACAGAATGATTAACATTTTTTCCGAAATGTTTTAGCACCGATCAAAACAAACTTCCACTATGCATTCCCAATATAGCAATACGTTTGGGACTCAAACTCTTTGAACATGCAAAACATTAAGGGTTTCAAGTTCCAAACTTGCGACCGAGCTACTTAGGGTACTTAGGAAGGTTTTTCAGTATAGGAATTGTCACGGGTAAAAGTGACATTTCCGAAAATCAGGGCAACCAACAGGCTTGGATGGGACTAGGAAAACCATCATTGACACTTGCTTTCAGATAGGAGTTTTCCTAGTCCATTTCCAATATTCTAAATATTGATCCTGGCCGAAATTAAAAAAATCTGGCTAGGCAGATTTTTGGCCCGGTCGGTCGATTTTTTTAAAATCGACTAGCCGATTTTACAAGTTCTTTCCTTTCGTTATTGTTCGCCTTGTAGTGAAAGCTAGCTCTATCGCCACACTCATCTTGCCTGTTTCTCAGTAACTTGTAAATTAAGAGCAGTATATTGATGCTTATTTAAAATTAATTATTTTTTCCTTAAAGCAAACACTAATAGCTAACGATTCGTAATTAATTTTGAATTGATATTGTGTTACGTACGAATTATGATTATAAAAAGTTTATTTTCGGGCTATAAAATTTTTAGCTAAGCAATAAAATTGGTCGGTCGAAAAATTTTGGTGGCTAAGTTCACTAATTCTAAGCCTCTATAGTCCCTTTGAAAGTTATTTAAAGGACGTAACTTGGTTAGCAGTATTTTGTTAAATAAAAAAATTTTATCTTACGACACTTATGTGCGAGGTAGGGGCACATAGGATTATTAACTCGATATCGATATTAAAACCCATTTTTAAAGATATTCCAGATAATTAACCAAATCTCTAACGTCACCGTCACGCCTCTGGCGAGTTGCCTCATCATTTTCCCGTAACATTTTTGGTGATGACCCGTAACAGAATATTTATTCGGATAAGGGAATATTCAAGTAAGTATTAAATGTGAAACTCCGGTTTTTTGAATGAATAATATGAATAATAAAGATTTTTTACATTCATTGTGTAAGATGATAGAGAGAAGATAATCTGCGATAATTCTCTTACCCATCAAGGAGAAGATTTTGGTGTGATCCGCGTAACAGACATGTGCGTGTATACGTAACAGGTTACACGAATGCTAATATAAATGAGACAGCTCTTTGTCGCAGCTTTTTAGAAGTTCTTAGTTTATTTATATTCGTTTTATAAAAGTCGCGCACAAGCTTATTGAGTTAGTGAAGATGAGTGTATCAATACTTGAATTAGATCCTGAACAATGCAATAGGGACAATCCGCCTTTAGAGGTTATGATTAGCGTTGTTATCGTCTGTGGCATGCTGTTAAGTTACTTACCTCAGGTATTTTTCTGCTATGAGTACTCAATTGTTCTAAAGTTAATAAATATATTAAATGATATTAAAGGACGTCTATTGTTCTAATCAATACAGCATTACAAAATTATTAGCAACAAAAGTAGTGATGGGTTGAGCCCTTGGTTCCTTCTGTTGGGGACGCTTTCTTCAACTAGTAGTTTTTTTAACATTTTAATTTTGCAGTTTTGCATGGTCCAGTGTTGTAGAATCGTGGTATGTTTTCATTAAAAGATCGTAACCCAATTTTAATTCTCGTATAATTTACTACTTCCATTTCTATAAATACATTACAGTCTGGACTTCAATGCTTCGAAAACACATTAGGGATCATTCAACTAGGTGTTCAATTTTCGATGTTTGCATTAATATTTGCTCTTTTCATGATATATTTCCCTTCTGAGCGCAAAATTGTACCGTATGTTCGTCACATACACTTTAATTCTCCGCCGACACGTTGGTCGAACGATTGGCGTGACTCAATTTGCATTTCCATTGCTATAACAGTGCATTTCGCTTTGACTGTTATTATTTCAACATACCTTTTAACATTTGGTGGTGCTGCTGAAGATTATCCGGCTACAAAATACTGGGCAGACTCTTTAGGCGTCATGTCTACAATATTTGCATCTATTCAGTATTTTCCTCAAATAATTAGGACATGGAGACGAAAGGTAAGGTTCATGTATTTGTTTTCGTTATGAACGCAGTGAAAATACCCGACACCTATTAATTTATCTATAAATCAACATAGTCTGTAGGCGCACTTAGTATACCTATGATGCTTATACAAACTCCTGGTATATATTTCTCATGTGTTTATTTAGTTTATTTATTCTAATTTATTTTAATTGTCGAATTTGCAACATTTGCTATTAATTTAGGTTCATTTCTTTTCGTTTACTCTCTCGCCATTCGTCCTGGAACAAGGTGGACGACATGGTTTGTTTTTCTTGTTACTGGATGTCTTCAAGGCACCCTTCTCATTATGTGTATTTGCTGGCACTACCGAGCCAAACGTCTCGGTCATGGACCGTTCTATGTTGGAGATACAGACTCTGACGGTAAGCCATTGGTCCCGGATGAACAAACGAGATTGCTTGATGGAGGAATCCATGGACAATCAACTACATCGTCGAGGTATAATAATACTGTACCTGACGTAGAAAATTCTTAATTCATTTTTAGTTTTTTTTTTCAATACTACTTGATTAGAATGTGACTGTATTATAGATATCCCCTTCGATTTTGAAATGGGGTTTG